ACACACACACACACACACACACACACACACACACACACACACACTTTGGCAAGCAGGAAACATTCCAGGTAACTGCTGTTCCTTTTGGTACGTGCTTTTTAAAAACTATACAACTCAAGGCCCCTCAGTTACTTAAGTACTTAATAATAATTAGGCAGTAAATGTGCATCAGGTTTACATTAAATAAGGAAAAACCCTTAAACAAATACCTGACAGAACAGCTATCTTTTGCAATCTTGATTGTTAGAATCTGTGAGGCAACGACAGAGAGGACTTCTATATCAATTCGGTTGAATTCATCAAAACAACACCAAGCTCCTGACTGTACCAGTCCGAAGAAGAATTTCCCCAGTATCTTGAAAAAAAAAAAAGATTATAAAAAACATAAAGGTGAAAGTTTTTACCAAACCAGATAAACACCTTTAGTATTTGTCTCTCCATAGCATTTTAGTAGTTGCTTAGATTACAAATGACTCAACTACTTTGCCTGTTTCTTGAACATGAGTAGCAAACCCCTTCCTGTAGGCCAGGCACATTGGCAGGCACAGCTGACTGCCAATTTAGGTCTCAGAGCTATAACTTGGTGGAGTCTTATGCTAACCTTGGCACTGGATGGGAGTGAAATGTCAGAAGGCAGGTGTTCTTCTCTGGAGCAGACTCCTCATGGTTTGGTAAGGGCTGCAGGAGAGGCAAATGGATTGGGAGCACCAAGACATACCTCTCCCTGAGGGTTTTAAGTAGGTATTAAAACATGGTTGTAATATACTAAAAGCCCTATTCATGTTAATGACAAACCCTTTAAGTTCCTTTTTTTATATTTACTTTTATTTTATGTGTGTAAGTGTATTGCCTATATGCATGTAAGTGCATCTGTGTCATGCAGTGCCTGTGGAGGTCAGAAGAGGGCGTCTGAGTCCCCTGGAACTTAAGCTATGGATGGTTGTTAGCCACCATGTAGGTGCTCAGAATTGAGCCCCAGTCCTCTGGAAGAGCAGCCAGCACTCTTAACCGCTGAACCCTCTGCAGCCCCACCCTTTAAGTTCTTATTATAAGCACTACCGATGTTCATCTTCCTGTAAATAAGTAAGATGGAACAGTTTGACTCTCTTTGGCAACTGTTAGACTCCCCTACCTGTCCTAACTAGTTGCCTTGAGCAAAAATACTGTCAGTCAGAGTCAGGGAGCCTACACTATGTCAGACCGGCTATCCAGAACACACAAGTACCTTGGGAAAAACTATGGGAAAAACTACAGCGCAGCTGCAGCTGAGTGCCCCACTTCCAAAGGCAGAGCCTCAGTCAGGGTTTGAAAGTTTGTTCTAGACTCTATCACAAATCTTGGTGAGCTCTGTATAACCCTGCAGTCATTTTTTACCTGGGCTAGAAGGAGGCATTTCCCCTGGTGGCCTGGCAGAGCGATTGCTCTGACTGGAGCTAGACAGACAAGGCTGCGGTTGGTCCAGACACAAACTCTACGGCTGTGACTGACACTAAAGGTAAGGCTGTGATTGGCCTAAACCCAGCCTCCTCTGACCACGTAAGCGGAGTTCTCAGGGTCACTTGGGGAACCGGCTGGAAGACGCTTTTCTTTGCTACCTCCTCTGTTGCTACAGCGGTAGGCCCAATAAAATTTTTTTCTTGCCCATTTTCAGCACTGCAGACTGAGCTGCGGACACTAAAGCAGCAGCAGAGACAGCAAAGTGGTGGCGAGAAGAGGCAGAGGCAGGGACCGCAGAGCAGCTGACAGGCTTGGCTGCAACCAGTACGTTAGCCTCTGTTTAACAGAATAAGCAGCAGCTGAAAAGCTCAAGAGCAGCTAGGGAAGGAAAAAGGGCAGGACACGGGGGTAGCAAGAGAAAGTGGAGAGCAGAGAGACTGGGGAAGGTGAAGGGGCTGCAAAGAGCCAGAAAAGAGAAACTGCAGACCGTAGTTTCTAGAAGTCTTTAGAGACCAGGGTTTTAGACCCTGGGCTGGGAGCTCTAACACTGGCCAGTGTTAAGGATTAAGGAATCCTGACTTCCTAGGTATACATAAAAACTGTAACACTGACCGATGTCAAGAACTGGGGAATCCCAATACCTAAGGCCACCTGGAAGATGCAGTGCAAGCAGCATCCAAGGTGGAGGAGTGAGTCCCAACTCAGCCCTACCTAAGAGATTTAGCAGTTGTAGGGATGGAGCGTCCTGATACTGAATGCCTGAAAGAGGACCGCAACAATAGAGGGCGCCACCTGCTGCTCCCACATGCTTACTACTATCAAAGACCCACGGGGTGGGGCGGGGGGGCGGGGCGGGGAGAGCTGCCAAGAACTAGGTGGTGTGGTTTTGGGAGGTCTTAGAAGGTGTGGCCATGCTGGAGGAAGCATGTCACTGGGGGCGGACCCAGACCTCAAGTAGAGCTCTTGCTTCCTGTGCCTGCTTGAGGATGTGAACACTGCACTCTGCTCCTGCCCCAACTACCTCCTGCCACCATACCTCCCTGCCATGATGGACTGTAATTCCCCTGGAACCTGGGAATAAACAAACTCTTCCTTCTGTAAAAATCAAAATCAAAAGCAAAAACCCTTGTCCCACCACAATTTCTATCTGGGTGGAGAAAGGATCCACATCAAGCTGATTTGTAGCCCTGGTAGGTAAGACAGATGAGTGACCCTGCATATGAGGTAGATTTCCAGCCAAACTGAAGGCAACCCAAAAGATGTTGAGGGAAGAAAGAGAATGGACCCCAAGGCCTGGAGGGGCGCAGGACCGGCTTCCTTACACTAGGCAGCAGAAAATCAGCTCTTTATTTCAGATGTTGGTATTTTGTTTACCATGTGGCATTTTAGCACTAAATAACACATAAAACAAGTCACAGAAATGAGGCTAGAGCTCTTTTGTGGAGCACTTGCTAATAATCAGGGACCTGGAATCAATCCCCAGCACCAGGCAGCAAACAAAGCCTCCAGTTGCAGTGTTGTGAAAACCTGAGTTAAGCTTGTGACAGACAGAGAGGAACATGGCATTCTGTTGCTGTTGTTTGAGACAGGGTCTTATTACATAGCTCTGGCGGGACTGCATCTCACTATGTAGCCCAGGCTGACCTACAATTCACAGAGATCCTACCTCACTCGGCCTCCCGAGTGCTGGAATAAAAGGTGTATTCCACCATGCCCAGCTGGAACATGACATTTTAGTAACAGATATTTCAAGATTGTATTAGATATGTCTTAGATAATTTAAAACCAAAACAAGTCTAACATACACTTGTAATTATTGTTATCATTTCTATAAAATTTTTTATGGTAATTATAGTAGCCTCTTGGACTTTAATAATCACCTTTTCAGTAAATAAATGTGTAGTTTAAGGACAAATTTGTGTTAATAAATTATGCTTAATTATATATTCATCCTTCACACATGAAAGCTTTTTTTAAAAAAAGAATCTTACTGTCATAAAGATTGAGAACCATTGTTTAAGGAATTTAGTTGAACTACTTAAAAGTCACAAAATGTTCTAATTTTCTATAGATTCTAGGTGTCTATTCATTTAAAAGAAATAATAGTATTTCTAGTACTATCAGTAATTCTATTGCTACAGGGTATTTTTCCTGTTTTGTCATTCCTCAATGAATTACTTTACATACACATTTTTTTCTCCATATTTATGTTTAGGCTTTACCTTACAATCCAAATCTTCAAAACAGCTGAAGACTACACAATGTTTACCTAAGGCCTGGGAACAAAAATATAGTTAATATAGTTCTTGAGTCATGACACAAACTTAAAATGTTCAAATTGCCAGAGTAAGAAAATATTTTTATTAAGCTTTTGGGAAAAAAAATCATCGTATAAAAAGATGAATTAGATACCAAGTTCAGAGATTCACAGAACTGAATATGCCATACATGTGCATACACTGTTACAGGATGGTTGGTTACAGGATGGTTGGTTAGTTTATGTAGCATCAAGGTCCTGTTTTTACACAAATCATCAAATAAAAACCAAGAAGAAAAAAAAAATCAGTGTGATATACTGTTTGTTTTCGTTAGTCTCTCTCTCTGTCACATACACACAATCCTTCATTCAGTTCATATAGTAATATACCAATTAAACACAAAGAATATTGGTTTATTGAGATCCCAAGACCCTGTACATATTAGGCATTCAAAATTTAATTGCTGGATTGATTGTACTGCATAAGGAATGTGCTTGAAAAATGCAACGATCATTTTAACAGCAGGAATAGTGCAAAGTTAAGGATACCATTAAAGTCTGTATGACAGAAAATTCTGGACAGAGAAACTACATACTTTTGCTAGGTCTTTAACAGTTTCCGTTTTCCCTACACCAGCGGGCCCAGCACAGCAGCCTCCAAGATTGTAGCACAGTGCCCCCATGAGGGTAATCCAGCACCGGTTTGTGAGAGGAGTGATGACCAGTCTCCGGGCACAGCCCAAGTATTCATAGCTATAAGCAAAGCTGGTGTTTCCTTGAGACACATAACACAACTTTTGCTTTTCATCCCATTTATACTGTAAATGTCTGAAAGCAATATTTAAAATACTCATATATTATTTGAGCCAAAATAATTTCATAATCAGAAATATAATCAAGTTTAAGAATGGGGTATTGCTAAAAAACCAAACCAAAATATTAAAACAACTGGGATGTGATAAAAAACTCATCAGGGCTGGATTTGATATGAAATAAGACTATACTCTTGGAAACATCTTTCAAAGACTATTTTTAGAATAAACTTTATACTTGATTTTTTTTTGGAACCCTGAAGCAATGTCATAGGAAAAAGAAATCCTCTCGCCACATTTTTAACAGTTCAGAGCTGTCCTGCTTTTGGATGACAAGAGAAGCAGATGCAGCCCAGCATCACTAAAGGGCTTAACACAGCTTTTCTTTGCCTCTGGCTGCCCGCCTCTCAATCCGCCTGTAGTCCATGCGTTCATGGAAGTTTCTGTGTATCTCCCCTTTTAGCCCTTCTAAATCCCTTCCAAAACAAAAGAGCAGATTAGAAAGAAATTTTAAAATACTAATTTTTCAAAATAAAATTTCAGATAAAAGCAGTTTAAAACAATTTGTATGCTGCCACCTTGCAAAGTCCTAGATAAGATAGACTCATAAGTAAAACCAGAAAAACTTTAGATAAAAATTAATTACAAAAACCAAGCTTCACATTTAATGTATGAAACTTGTGCTTAAGTGCCTTTTCTCGCTATTTTCTCTGTCTTCCTATTCTGACTAGTTGACTCTAGGAAGGCGGGAAGGAGTTTCGGAGTCAGGGATTAGCTGGAAATGTTCTCTTTGTTCCCTCAACCTTGTCTGTCCCAGACTGACAGCACAGGAGAAAGAGGAACCAGGGAGACCCGACCTCAGCAGGACTGACAGCCACTGGCTCCCTGGCTGATGACAGCAGGCAAGATTCAACTCCTCAGGCCGGGAAGCCAAGGCCAAAGTAGAAACAATGGGAGAGAGGGCCAAGAAAGCACAGGAATACGGTGCAGTTGGCTTAGAATTGCAATACACCCTTGAAACCACAAACTATGACTGAGGATGTTTGAAGGAGAGACTCTAATGGCATGTTTTTGAATTATACGTAACTGCAGTTTATACCTACTTACCTTGTCCACTCAAAATCCCCCACGCTGGAGATATCTTTGAGGATTAAGTCTGTCACAGTGTCCCTGCAGTGAACATAAAGGGTAACTAACATCTCTAGTACAATTTTTGTGCGGGAGTTACTAGTGTTCTGTGCAACCAGGACCGTCAGTTCCTCTAGACGATGTATCACAGTAGCCTGAACTGTTGTCAGCTCTTTCCTTGAGTTGTAACTCACAAAACTTTTTATACAGTCATTGTGAAACATGATCTGGCTCTGAAAAAGAAGGGAGTCACACCTTAACTGAAACGTACATTTCATTTTTAATTAAAACATGTTTTCATGAAGTACATGTATTAAATGTATATGTGAGTACTTTATGTAAGATAGAGCATATATGCATTTGAAACCTGGAGACTGGACTTTACTTGATGCTTATGAGATACTTACTCACTTATATTTTCTTTTAAATGTTTTTAAAATTAATTTTTATGTGTATGAGTGTCTACCTGCATGTGTGTAAGTGCACTTGTGTTGTGCAATGCCTGCAGAGTGTGTCAGATCCTTTGGAACTGGAGTGACAGGTGGTTGTTAGCCACCATATGGGTACTAGAAACAGAACCCAGGTCCTCTGCAAGAGCAGCTGAGCTTAACTGCTGAGCCATCTCTCCAGGCCTCATTTATACTTTCTAAATCTTACATTCCTTTTAAAGTTTATTTTTTATTCTTTGATAGTTTCATATATGAAGATAATGAATTTTGGTCATTTCACCCCCTGTGCCCCTCTCTCATCTCTCCTCCTTTTCTGTTGAAACCCCTCTGCTTCCCAACAAGTCCCATTCCTACTTCATATCTCTTGCGTATGAGACCCCTGAGTTTAATTCAGGAAGCCCATCTCTATCACCCCCTTCCAGGCTCAGAGAACATTAAGGAAGAGGGGTAGGAGAAAATGGAAGCACCAGAGGATGGAGTGCTGTGCTGTACAAAGATGTCTCCTGTACATGACAAGCTGTTGCACCCATGAACTCCCTGTAGCTATGGTTATCTACATAGACCTGCAAAAGACTGGGCCCATAAAGGAAGCCCAAAGGCCTCATGAGGCCCCCACCCTCCCTAAGGGACTACTGTCCGTCAGTGGTGGCTGGGGGAAGGGGTGTCACTTTGAGTGGTGGAGACACTGGTAAGTTTCCCTTGCTCCAGAAAATAAATCTTAAGCTCTTTAATGCATCATTACTAAATAATAACCTGAGTACAGCAGGGATGGTAGAAAACACCAAGATGCCTTCTGCATTAAATTCTAAAGTAATATACCTAACCCAAAATGTGTGCAATTGTAGTTTTCAAAAATTTTGTGTAACTCCTGTTTTCTGATCCATCTATCGCACTCATTCTTCCCAGACATACAAGACCAATGTTAAGAAGCTGGGTGAAGAAGCTGGTTAAGGTCAGCCGACTGTGGAAATTAAGGGAGGGCAAGACATTAGGAGACCTCATAAGTAAAATTGGGTAGCCTGTGACTTCAGCCCCTCACTGAGATAGCTATCTTCTGGAAGAAGACTCATCTTGACTTATGCTGAACTTGAAGCGCTTAAAAATATATAAAGAGCTATAAAGTGATACAAATGTGAATAATTAACATAGATTCAATATATATTCTGAGATTTTTCCAGAGTAAGGGAAGAAGGAAAATGATAAGAAAACAAGTGTATTAATTAGCTTTTTAAAAAGCATTTTTATTGAATTTTTGCAATTTCCAGACAATATAATTTGATGATATTTATATCACCTCTCCCATCCACTTCTCCCTACATCCCCACACCCACTTAATTCAATGTACTCTCTCTGGGTAATAAAACCTATAGAGTCTAATTTGAATCCCCAAATGTTCTCCAGCATGGGTTCACCCACTCGAGCTTGCACAGGACTTGTGCATGCTATCACCATTGCTGTGAGTTCATATGAGTGACTGGTCAGCTGTCTGGAGGTCTCTATCCCCCTCCCCCCTCCCGCCCCATGGTCATCCACCACCTCTGGCTCTTAACAATCTTTCCACTTCCTCCTCTGCAATGATACCCAAGTCCTGAGCTCTAGAAGCCTGTCAGAGGCATCCCACCCAGAGATCAGTGCTTTGCAGCCCCTTCCTCCCCACACATTAGAAAGCCCTAAGTTTCTGTGTCAATCACCACCTGCTGCATAATGAAACTTCTCTGGTGAGAGTTGAAAGATGCATTGCTCTTCAACAGTGAGTGAGCACCTGACCCAGCACAGTTCATTCGGATCATCCCTCCTGGGACTGGGAGTCCATATTATTATGAGGGTACCACAGTTACATGTCACAGGAGTGGGCCATAGCTCCAGGTTACAGGAGGGTAACCACAGCTCCAGCTCACAGGAGGGGAATCACAGCTCTAGCTCTCAGGAGGGGACCACAGGACCAGCTCACAGGATGGGACCATATCTCCAGCTCACAGGAGAGGACCACAACCTTAGTCCACAGGAGGGGATCACAGCTCCAGCACACAGGCAGGGAATCACAGTTCCAGCTCACAGGAGAAGACCACAGCTTGAGCTCATGGGAAGGGACCATGACTTCAGCTCACAGGAGGGGACTGCAGTTCTAGTTCTGTTTCTTAAGCTCTCAGGCTCTCAGGCTCTCAGTGTTTCTCCCTTCATGTACATAAGTACACTCAGGTCCTGCAATGCCCATGGTGCAGAAGAGGGCGCCAGATCCCCCAGAACATAGCTACTCTGTTTGATTGGCCTAAAACCTTGCTCTTCTGGCTAAAGTCTTTCAGATATAATCCTCTGGATAGAGGAGATGGCCCAAGATGGTCAGGCGCCTAGGTTCTGCTCCTGCCCACAGTGCAGATCCCCACTTATTTCTTGGCTGCTGAGCTAAGCGCTGGAGGAGCCCATGAAGGCCCCGGAGTCACTCAAGCTGTTCCAACACGAACAGAAAGAGCAACAGCAGCTGCCATTATCCAGATGGCTGTCGACTTGTGAGATCTTTGAGAAACCATGCTATAAATGCACAAGGACAAAGTCTTCAAGACTCTCCTCCTACAACCCTCCATCTTTGACAGCGTAGGCTTCTTCAATCATCCCTAGCTTCAACTTGGTCATGCTCAGATTGGATTCCTGTAGGGATTCTGACTTGAGGCTCCCTCGGTCCATGGCAGAAGTCGAATGCTTGTGCATTTTGGTCAGCTGGGCCTGGGGTGGACTGGCTTCCTGCTGCAGGGGCTTCTCCTTCAAATGCTGCTCTAGCTTCAACTCCCCAGGGAGAAGTTCAGTCATGTTATCAGTGTCGATGAGCTTGGTTGACAGATGCTTCAAGAGCTTGGGGTCCACTCCTGCTGGCACTCAGGTAGCAGTGCAGCACTCGATCTCCATCTCGGTCTCCAGCCTAGTGCCTGCCTTATCAGCTGCCATGGCGGCCTGGTGGGAAGCCACTGGGGAGGTGCCGTCCAGGGCCTCTCCTGCCCCGGCAGGAAGCCAGGCAGCGGGACCATTCTTTTTAAAATAAACCAGAAATGAACTCTTACAGGCTCATCATCAGTAGATCAATGGGTGGGCAGAGACTGAGGCTTGCCCAGGAGGAGGAACTACAGTCAAGGTCATGTCACAGCAGAATCTGGCCAAAATCTATTGTACTGCTGTCCTTGAGATAGTTACTTATGATATATAGCCTCTGGAGAGAGCCTCCATGGTGAGGAACATTGTGAATCAGATTTAAAATTTTTTCATTTATCTACTTATAGAGGAATAATTAATTATAGCATGGATAAATCCATATTGAAGTCTCTTCAGTGGTGGATGATTACAGATAAATACATGGTCCCCACTCCCTCGAAGATGTCTTTTTACATTTATTCAGAGACTCCTCTGTGCAGAAGTGAAAGAGAAAGGGGAGCTATAAATTACATCTTGGGATGAGAAATTAGCAAGAGATGTGGAAAAATCTTAGACAAAAGTACATTCGTGACTGAAAAGAAGGTCTACTATAGAGTAATTCTAAAAATAGAATGCAGTGTGCTTCCTAGTTAAGTACACGGTTAAGTATACTGTTAAGTAGGACCACCAGGAATCTGGGGAAGATCTTTTCTTACTAGGGAAGATTGGATTGTTTGAATTTGTTAAACTACAGAAAAGTGTATACCCACCCATAATTTGTCACCTTTGTGCAGAATAGGTCACACAGCCCTTCAGTTTAAGACCTGGAATTTACTCAGGCAAGTGGAAAGTAAAAGGGATTAGATTTGATAGTTTTTGTCTAAAGTCCTAACAAAGACCTGAAAACTGTGGTGGGCCGTGCAAAGTAAAAAGATGGAAATTAATTTGAAAAAGAATAGAGATCTATAAGTATGCTTTAAAAATACTTACTGGTGGTTATTTATGGCACTATGCGTTCTACTTTCACCACTCCAGAAAAACCACTGTCTCAGGTTCATACCGACCCTTGTAACTGAAAATTCTAACAGGGTTTTCAGTGTATTAGTTATGTTTCTCACTGTTGTGACTAAGGACCTGACAAGTAATTAGTAAGGAAGAATTTATTTTTGGCTCATGGTTTGAAAGTCCTTCATAATAATTCATTTTCCACATTTACTTTCACAGCACTATAACCACAAGCCAAATATTCTATCAAGGCAGCATTAACTTACCACAGTGAGGACCACTTGTCCTGGATGTGACAGTACCCACTGGGAAAAAGTCTGGTAGTTCCATGCTTCAACCCCCTGACTTATGAATCTATAAACAACAACACAACAAAAGCCATTTATATTATCCATATATAAACATGAATGATGTCATTTAACGACAAAGGCCACATGACAAGGCCACAGGAGAACACTCCATTAGTATCTCCCATCATTTTAATTTGGACGTATGTGTTCATACATAGTGCATAGTCCTTAACTTGCTTTTTATTTGTACTTTCGTATTGAGGCTGATTAGTTTCTTGTTGGTGAAAATATATATTAACTTAAAAGAAGACTCATAGTAGCTTTAAATTGCAAATGCTATCAAGGGCTAAGGATTTATTTGAAAATAATTTTCATAATAGGCAGGGCATAGTGGCACATGCCTATAATCCTAGCAGTTGAGAAGGAGGCAGAGGCAAGAGGATTGTTTCAAGTTTGAGGATAATCTTGTCTACATAGTGAGTTCCAGACCAGTCAACATGCTCTTAAAAAGCCAAAATAAGTACATAAATTTTACTAAGTGAAATAATGGGATGAAATTGCCAGACAAATAGTAAAGCTCTGCATTTAGCTTTTAAATATTTAATTTTATATGTATGTATGGTTTTTCCTGCAAGAATATAAATGCATCTGTATCATGCAATGCCCACAGAGGCCAGAAGAGGGTGTCAGATCTCTTGGAACTGGAGTGTTGAACAGTTGTTAGGTACCATATGAGTGCTGGGAACTGAACCCAGGTCCTCTGCAAGAGCAGTCACTGCTCTTAATCACTGAGCCATCTCTCCAGTCCCTGCATTTAGCTATTAAAATTAATCATAATAGAGAGGATGGGATTTATGAAAAAATATCCAGGAGGTTTTATTTAAGACCAAACCCAATTTATAGGAATAGCATGTGTTTTGAAATTGTTAAGGCATTTTGTTCATAGAGAAGTTAGTTTCTTTATAATCAAATCATTAATTTTTAAATTTAGTAGATCACTGATATACTTTACAAATTATCATACTGAGTTTCATTACCTCCTTCAATGCTTAAAAGGCTTTATTGTTTTTACACCCCAATTTTAAATTCATTTATAATTTAACCGAACACTTGAAGTGAAGTAGTGGTGCTTTTAAATCTGGCCATGATTACAAATAGTACCTATTACTATTTTTTTTTTAATTTATCATTGCTGTTAAGAAGAGACAGACTTATAGCAAGTTTTTTCCTTGTCTTCTGTATGTGGCCAACACTGGCCTTGGTGGGTGATACTCCTGCCGCCATCCTCAAAGTGCTAGGATTGCAGGCACATACCTCTAGGTAAATAT